ACACACACCCTTTCCTCCCTGACCTCTGCTCCTCCTAGCTCCTCTCCGCTCCTCCTGTTCCTCCTCCACCCCGGCTGGGCTGGACGGGCCCTTCCTCCTCCCGAGGCCCCAGCCCTGTTCTCTGTTCAGTGGGTGACACTGGTGACCATGGTGGCTTCCCCTCGACTCTGTGACTACTTATTTATTATTGTCTGATTCACCCGAGGGCTGGACACCACTGGGGCAGCCACGCCCCTGTCGTCTGGCAGGGAGCCTGGACACAGGTGCCCAGCCCGTTGCTGGCTAGGTGCTGAGGGACAAGCACCTTCCCTCCGACCCCCCTGGGTGACGGGCCGCTGGCCCTCCCTGCCTCCCTCCTGCTGGCCCCCCTCCCCGTCTCCCCAGGCTGCTCTGCTCCTCTCCAGGGGTCACATTCCTGGGACACTAGCTGCTCTCCGAGTGTGCCTACCTCACGTCCTTCCCTGCGCTTGGTGGGGGAGGGGTGCAGAGGGGACAGACCCTGTGGGCKGAAGGAGCCCTGTTGTGCCCCTCCCTCGCGCTGGCACCTGTGTCTAGCAGGAGCTGGTGCCCTCATTCTGTATGGGAGTTCCGCCGGGAGACAGCCATGTGTGGAGGGCACATTGGGGTGGAGGGGTGTCTGGTGGCTCTCTCACCTCCCCTGCTGGGAGCGCTCGGCGGGGGCCTGGGGCCTCCTCCCTGCTGCTCGGCTGGCGTGGCCCTTGCCCAGTCCCTGGAGAGGCCTCTCTGCCCAGGGCACCGACGGTCCCTCCTGGAGCCCTGCTCTCCCTGGGCGCTCCCCTTTTCTCGCCGCCCGGTGACCCGTCCTGGGGAGTCAGGGGCCAGAAACTCCTGGGGAGCACGCCCTGCCCCAGGCTGCCGCTCCTGGTGGGACTGTCACAAGTTCCCTGGAGAGGGGCGTGAGGGGTGGACGGCCGCTCCCCCCAGGGCCAAGCTGGCCCTCCCCATGAGGCCTGCTCCTCTGGCTCCTCCCCATTCCCGGTCTTGTCCTTGCGGGGAGCGCCTTCCCGGGAACCTCGGGCCACCCAAGGCTCTCCATCTTAGTTTGGGGACTTAAGGACCTTCAAGGCCCTTGGCAGTCCCTGGTTTCAGCTTTGTCACCTTCCGGGTCACACGAGCTTCTTGACACCAAGGCGGCCCCCGGGTGTCCTGTCTTCACCTCCTGCTTGGCGTCGAGGCCACAGAGTACTTCGAGGAGCGTGTGGGGAGTAAAGTACTCCAGGAAGAGACCCAGGGTGCCACGGTCTCCAACCCAAGGATGACTGTCACTAACCCTGGGTTTGTTCCGTGGGGGTTGGTGGTGTTGTATGGACGGCTCTGCAGCCGGCTTCACTCCTCATCTACGCCAGTGTGACACGGTGCACCGAGCCCGGGGCCAGGCCAAGGCCCAGCTCTAGGGAGCCTTCTGTTGGACTCTGCCCCCTTCACACGTGGGGAGCCCTTGGTTAGGCTGCTGCCGATGGTGACCTCTGGCTGCTTTCCAGGCAGGGACTGTGCCCAGGCCACTCGCTCACCAGGACTAATTGGCCCCCAGCTCTGCATAGACAACTTGGGGTTGAGCCAGCAAGTGGGGGGCTCAAGAGAAGTCTAGGGCACAGAGCTGGCACAGAGGGACATGCCACCTGTACACGCAGACCCACATGGCATGAGAGTCACACCCAYGGGCGATGCGCGMGGCCTGACGCAGTTCAGAAGGGTGGGCTGCAGTGAGGGCCGAGTGGTCCTGGGGGCTTTCTGGGCGGGGGCCAAAGCCAGGACCTGGGAAGAAATTCACTGAAT